AATAGTCTGTTTGTTAATGTAACAAAAACCGAAGCTATGCTTTTCGGAACCGCCCCTAGATTATCTGCTGTTAACTCTTTTTCTATTACTTTAAATAACAATGTAATTAAGCGGGTTTTTCACTTCACTTATCTAGGTATAGTTTTTGATGACCGCCTTAGCTGGAACGAGCAAATAAAGTACCTAATTTCGAAGGCGGGAAAACGCGTAGGAATGCTCGGCAGGCTTCGCAGAAGCCTCACTAGAGAGAGTGCAAATGTAGTGTACTGTAGTCTAATTAGGCCAATTTTAGAATACTGTGTAAGTGTGTGGGGCTGTTGCGGGGAAGGTCGTAAACAAGACCTTGAAGCCCTCCAAAACCGGGCTGCTAGGATAGTGGCTTGTACTGTGCGCAGCAAGCAGGCATTGGACGTTCTGAAATGGCCCACCTTGGAGGAGCGCCGACGTCAATCTGTTTTTAAACTCGTTAAGAAATGCCTGCAAGGTCAATGTCCCCAGTATTTTAAACAATATTTTAAACGTAATAATACAATCCATGCGCGCGCTACTAGACAAAGCAACCTCTTACATCCGCCTGCTGTGAGAACTGAAATTGCAAAAAGATCCTTCTATTATTATGGTTGCACTCTTTTTAACGAATTATCTTAATGATATTTCGTGTTTTTACATCTTTTAATCTTTTAATTGAAAATAGTTTTCTATTTATATTATTACCTGTATTAGTGTAATGTTTATATGTTTAGTGTGTTTTTGTGCGTTGTTGCTCAGGGCTCCCATTGATAACAGACAGCTTTTTGCGTCTGAAGGGGCTACCCTGAGCGGTATAAGTTAATAAAGGTTCTTCTTCTCTTGAACTCATCACTCTTTTATTTCTTTTTCTTTCTTTTTTTCGAATCCAATTCCAACTTCCTTAATTTTTCTCTATCCTTCCTTTGCTTTTTCTATATCTAATGTTGCTGCCCAAGTTATCGTCTCTTTTTTCTATGGAATTGTGGCTAGCTAACTTTACAGGAAATGGGGAAAATTAATCTGAAAAGAGTAATTGTAGTAAGCAGGAGTCGATTACTGATCGGCTTCTGTAGAAAGTGAGTAACAAAATTTGCAGGGGATTTTTTCTAAGATCTTGGTATGTGTTTTGTGTTCCACTGACATGATCAGTTAGAATTTCCAAAATGAGGGAGGCCACGTAGAGACCAGTATCCTTCCTGAATTCGCTTCTTAGCTACCTATCTCTTAAACTCTAAAGTTACTAGTTTAAGAAATGCATAATCTGCATCCTTCTATGTTGAAGGAAAAAGACCCCTCCCTTCTGCATGTTCTGAGGCATCTGATCGTTACGTTGTGAGCATTCAGCGAAAAGCTGTAACAAAATAAACAGGAGCAGAGGAACATTCTGGAAACCCGTTCCACGAATTAGCCGCACTCTTGATACCCTGCGGGTGCATCAAGATAGGCCACACCCAACATGCCCAAGCCACCAACATCTAAAATAGCAAAAACGCGACTATTCGCTCTTTTGTCCAATACATTAGCATTTGAAAAGCAAAATCGCTGGAATTTTATTTTGAGATTTCATGATTATTGCCTCGTGTTGGAGTGTAAAACGCTGGAATGCTGCCTTCCTATAAATATAAAACAGGTTGCAAATTATCAGTTTCTCTTCCAAACGGCATCTTGAGGATTACGTTGTAATGGAGGACTTCAGCTGTTGTTTAAATAGCAAAGAAGACGTCGTTGCATCTGGTCAGCTTGTGGATGAAATGAAAGAGGGTTTGAACAGTCTAATATCTCGGCTTTCGTCTATCGGTTTGACGGTACACGTGCTTCAAAACCGCGCTGTGGTTACGGAAAAAGACGAGCTTAGAACTTTCAACGTGGTAGACGGCGAAGCAGCGTTGCAGTTTGTGAATCAGCCTGAACATGCCGACAAATTAATCTGCTTCAATTCAGAAAGATTTTATTGCCACACTGAATACCTTGTGCTTCGAAGCCAGTACTTCAGGGCTTTGCTAAACGGTGCCTACCGCGAAACCAATATGGACGTAATTTCTATTCATCTCCCAGCGCCAGGAAATATTGAAGCCATTTTGCACTTTATGTACTCCGGCATTGTGGACGGAGGACTTTTGGAAACCACTGAAATCTTCAGCACCATTCAAAATGCGAATTTCTTAGGCATCGACGAATTGCTAGAAAAAGCAGCTGAAAGCTTTGCCAGCCGTTGGAAAATCTTGGCTTTTTCGCCACTCTTCAGAAGGAGCATTGTGGATTCAGAATTCGTAGGGGCCATTCTAGAACTCGGAAGTAAAAACGATGTTTTTAGCGTTGGGGATAAGCTGAGAATTGTTATGCTCTGGAACGAAGAAGAAGACCAAGAAAGCAACTTTCCTGAGTCATCTCGTCTTTTGGTAGAGTACAGATGTCTAGAGAACACAGGCATTGCGGACCTGGAATGGGCGTTGGACAAGAAGCCTCGACTTTTTAACTCCCTGCAGCAATCCGCGTTCCGCGTTGTCTATCAACGCGCGATACAAGATTCCTCGCGCGTCAGCGAGAAAATGCGCGCGAATGAAGACAAAATCAAAAACCTTTCCCAGTGCGTGCGTACTCTGACCAGACAACTCGAAGACGTCAGGTGCAACAGGTGTCAGTTGTTTCTTCCTCGTGCTGCGATGAAGACAAGAACTTGCATTGTCAGTCGGCATCCAGGAGAGTATGTTGTTAACAAGGGGTGGAGCTGTTGTCGACAGCTCATAAAGCGAAGCAAGGGCTGCAAGCCTGTTAGTCTTTCCAGGCACTGTATGTCCTTAAACCCAAGGTCAAGGTGAAAAACGATTGGGTGTCTTCGATCACCTTGGAAACGAAAATGACCAGTCGTCAGCTATTTCCATTGCAGACTGCAAATTCACATGCAAAAGATGCAATTTCCTCAAATTATAAATGTGTTTTTAATTTGGAATCGAATCCAATTGTAATCATTTCTATCCCAGTGTAAATATTCGAGTATGTTTTAAAATTTTGCCTCAAAGATAGCAATATAGTAGTTCAAGAATTTTATTCTGTTTTTTACTTTTTATTCGCAAAGTGCGACCAGGCAACTTTTAATTTAACAAATTTCAAGTCAAATTGAAATCTCAACCAAAATGAGATAGTTATGAGACGTTTATTTTGCTAGTTTTGTTTTTGCTATATCTAGTTTGAGACAACTCATATTTTATTTTTTCCTTTAAGAAGAATTTTAATTTAATTTGTTGTTTAAATCTTCAAAACAAAAAAACAAACTTTGAAACAACCTGTCTGATTTAATAAATGAGGGGGGAGTGGTAAATGTATATTATATAGGGGACTAGGGTCAGATAGGGGATGCATACAAACTAGTTGATTGAGCCACAGGCATGCAAGACACACTGCAAGAGTGTTTGTTAAAAATTAACACATCTACTGTCATCAGGAGCCTATAACCCGGAGCGAACAAATTCAATTCCATGCGTTCGGTCAAGGCGTTTTCATGAACCAGTTTATTTTTAGAACGGTTTTGGTGCGAATTTTGAATAATTTATCTTTTCCATTCCACAAACCAGTCAGCAAAACCTGCAGACCTAAAATAATATTTTTTGCCTATTAATAATGTTTAGTTTTCCTTTTTGGTATCGTATACTTTGAATGCGCTCATAGTCATTGTGGGATTCTATTTTCGCGGGAAAAAGTGCCCTAAAATGTGTCTAAAAATAAACTTGTCCGTAAAAATGCCGTGACATACCGTGTAGCATGAAAATTTTGCGGGTTCTAATTTTTGCGAATTTTGCGAATTGACCTCGATCCACAAAAAATTAGTTTCCGCAGAAAATAAAGCCCGCAAAATAAAACGCCGCGAAAATTAACTCTTCAGTCAAATTAAAATAATAATTGATAATATCGGTCGTGGAAAACCTCATCACCGTATTAATGAAAGAGTGTTTTGTTGTGTATGGTAGGGATAGGCTTTTGTTTTGCTTTGCTTTTGTTCAGTCCCTTTGTCAGTAAGATATTACAGTGATTACCGTATTATTCTCCATTAAATATGTACAGGGTTAGTACACTTTTCCAGGCCAAAAATTCAAGGACTTTTCAAGGACTTTCCAGGACCCTAACTAGAAATTTCAAGGACTTTTTTTAATGACAATTTTACCTCAAAACCAAGAAAAATGTTTGTGTTAACATCTATGTTTTGGGTTTACAGATAGTGAAGAACATTTTCGATCTTGTTCAATAAAAACTCAAGGACTATCTAGGACCGAAAACGAAATTCTTGAGAGTAAATGCTTGAGAGTAAAGAGAAACTTGACACTATGACAAGATTCAGTTAACGCCTTATTTTATGAACCCCTTAAATTACAGCTTCTGAGCACTGTTTACTAATCAAATCTCTTTCTCCAAAAGTTCAGAATGACAGCCATGTAGCTTTAATAAGCTACAAAGCAACACTTTCCTCAAACAGTGTTCGCTTTTCTAGAGGTTGTTAAATACATGACAAACAAATTTGTCAGAAGTTTTGATGTCTGGAGGAACCTCTATTGTGTGACTTTTGACAGACACATGAAAGCTCATGTCAAAACATAACTGTTGTCTTTTTTATGTTCTGCAATAAAATTTTCTCCACCTTTGCACCAAAAAGAGTTAATAATTATTAATAGACTCCATGGAGGAAAAGAGAAGAAGATTGTTTGCCCGACTGTATAAAATCAAAAGTCCTTTGGTTTGTGGTGATACTTGAAGTGCTTTGGCTGGTACATGAACATAACTAGCTTAATATAGTCAATTTCCAGATGAAATGGTCCAGTGTTGTAATCTGCAAGAGTGANGAGAAGAAGATTGTTTGCCCGACTGTATAAAATCAAAAGTCCTTTGGTTTGTGGTGATACTTGAAGTGCTTTGGCTGGTACATGAACATAACTAGCTTAATATAGTCAATTTCCAGATGAAATGGTCCAGTGTTGTAATCTGCAAGAGTGAAGCCAACAGTTCGTATTCTGGGAAAATCCATCTGATGATCTTGTAAGTATCCAGCATTTGTGAGAACAAATTTTGTGAAAGGAATCTGTTAAAAATGTTGAGAGGACAAAGTTATTAGTCTAAAGTGATGCTGCCATCAATAAATTAATATCACCATATCAATATTGCTGGTAAGAGAATGACTTACTGGTAAAATCATACATGTTTACTGCAAACAATGAATGTCAGATTCGAGTAGACAAGTTCTTAAATTAGGAAGTAAGCAGGTAAAAACTTAACAGAAGTAAAGATATAATAAAGAGTAAAGGAGATGTAAACAAAAAACCCAGCTGCATGATGGAAATTGTCTTTTGCCAATGTGATTCTAAATCTCTCTACAATGTAATAACTGATTGTGATTTACCCGCACTATCTCCCACAGTGGTCCTCCTCTTGTGTGGATAAAGGTCTGATGTACGTCATCCTCCCTGATGCTCTGTGTTTGAACGTTAAATGCATAGGTTCTGCCATCTCCTCTTAGCTTCATTTGAATACCATCAAAATCTGCTATGTCATTTGTTAACACATCTCCCATCCAATCCTGACGAATAAGGAAGAAGCTTAGACAACCGTGATACCTTTGTGCAGGGGGAAGAGATGCCATCCTCTACAGATCTAAAATCTGGAGACTCTCCCTTTTTTCCTATGCCCCCCCAAGAATGTTAACTGGACCCCCACCCCCTTCCCTAACAAACTGACTCAGCCCCCAAGTTATGACATGGGAATGGATTAGGACATGTAGTCTTAGAGGTACATAGCATAAAAATTCGCTTTCATCATTCCAAGTTGTAATGGCAAAATAATCTTCACTTTCAACGACAGGCATCAACAAAACCTGGATTGTACCAGATTAGATATACCACCTGTAATTCACTAAATGTCAAAAGGTTGGGTATGGGGTCTGATTGTTTTGTCAACAGTCTTCAACAACCTGTTGTCGTCTAGTTCAAAAGGAGCCACATTTTTCAACATCCATTGTGATGGCTCTCAAATGGGTCTTTCAACTGCCAATAGGCTATGATATTTCACTAAAGATACACTTATTGTATACGGTATATATTCAGAAAGGTGTCTCCCATTGGGGAGATAACAGAGAGCTTAAGCGACCATGACGGCAACAGCAGCATAAACGTCACTTAGAATAAGCGAGTTCGCGCTGTCTCAAACATTTTTTCTCTTGTTCCATTTCATACAATTTGTTTAATGTTGGGGAATTCTTCTGGAGTTGATTCTAAAGGATGGTATCTAAGTTTAGAAAAAGAAAAAGAAAAACATTTTGTTGCGTTCACATCCTCCATACAACGTGAAACTAGGAAGTTTCACATCGTAGTCGTGCAACAACGGCAAAGAAAAAGTAAAAAAAGCGCAATACATGTGCAAAGTTGTTATTTTGCCAATCTAAACCGAATGCTTTTTTACCGTTCTCACTGCCGCCGCTTTTCTCGTTGCTTAGGTTCCCATATGGTGTTTTTATTTAGAACTGGGCACTACATGTCATTTGAGCATTTATGGTGTACTAGTTTTCTAAAATTCCCAAGCTTCGAAATTCCCTAGGGTCCATTTCAAACCATGGGGAAAACACGGGTGGGGGGGGGGGGGGGGTTTAAACCCCCCCCTTTTGCCTGGGCCCTGTTAGGGCACATTCCGGGGTACTTAAAATTTGCAGGGGGGGGGGTGTCGGGGAAAATTTTTCCTTTAAAAAATACCGGCCCCCCCTGCCTCCGCCACAATTTCCGCGAGAATTTTCCCCCAAACTTTCAACTTTTGACCCGCGCCCCCTCTTACAACGC